TCAAAATACCCTGTAAGCGCGCCCTGAGCAGTGATTGTAGTCTGTCTCGAGATTCTCACCGTCTCATGGAATCAAGTGGTCAAGCAGTGACGCACTGCTTATAAACTACTTCCGCAATGCGCCGGCGTGGAACCCGGTTTGGTCAAACCATGGGACGTGGAGGAAATTGGGAATCTAGGCAAAGGAAATTGAGACTTTGGGGGGGGGGCGCCTACGCCGAATCGAGCCGTCGCCCGAGAACTTTCTCAAAGTTTCCTTCCAGTTTTGCTTGCTCGCCTCATTCTAGCACAAAGGAGCGCAAGAAAAATCAGGCTATAGATTAGATTAATTTCTTACATACTCGGTGCACAATTGAGCAAAGGATTCATTCCGGGGATACCAGTTGGTGGTGTCGGTCAAGCTCCCCAGTGCCTGACTTGTAAGATTATAGACCCTCCCACCACCTCGCGTCGACTGAAGTCTCTGGTCGCTGGTTAACCAGCGACCAGAGACTTCAGTCGACGCGAGGTGGTGGGAGGGTCTATAATCTTACAAGTCAGGCACTGGGGAGCTTGACCGACACCACCAACTGGTATCCCCGGAATGAATCCTTTGCTCAATTGTGCACCGAGTATGTAAGAAATTAATCTAATCTATAGCCTGATTTTTCTTGCGCTCCTTTGTGCTAGAATGAGGCGAGCAAGCAAAACTGGAAGGAAACTTTGAGAAAGTTCTCGGGCGACGGCTCGATTCGGCGTCGTCGCCCTCGCCCCAAACTTAGAGACATTGAGCGGGGGGCTTCGGGGACTTCGGCCGAGGAGGTGGCGGCAGCGTGCATATCACCGTGATTGAATGATTGCTTTTTTTTTTCTTTTCACGAGGGCCTCGCAATCAACGGCGTTATCCCATCTCGTATCTCGTAGCCCTGGGAATGGTGTTTGTTCATCTCGCCCTCCACAGCGGCTCTTGGACTGAAAAAAACACCATTCCCAGGGCTACGAGATACGAGATGGGATAACGCCGTTGATTGCGAGGCCCTCGTGAAAAGAAAAAAAAAATTCCCCCTTCCCCCCCCCCAAAGTCTCAATTTCCTTTGCCTAGATTCCCAATTTCCTCCACGTCCCATGGTTTGACCAAACCGGGTTCCACGCCGGCGCATTGCGGAAGTAGTTTATAAGCAGTGCGTCACTGCTTGACCACTTGATTCCATGAGACGGTGAGAATCTCGAGACAGACTACAATCACTGCTCAGGGCGCGCTTACAGGGTATTTTGAGTCTTATGATATTCTCCAGGGGCCTTGTTCAGTGGCGACTTTAACCTGACAAGGGGCCATTATTTACCCCGGCTACTGCGTATTTCGTAAGGGGCAATTTTGAGCGGAATTGGGTCTCAACCAGTAGCTCAAAACACCAGCCACACTTAACTCACGTGCCTCTCTCAATTCACAAGGCGCAAGCCTCAGCTCTCGACGGGAGTCACCGACAGAAAGGTACCAGGTCAGGTCTCGAACTGCCCGACACCCAATCGCCGAGTTCCCCTCCTATTCCTACCCACCGACCAATGACGACGATCCCACCGTCCCGCACTCCAATTCGAGACCTCCTCGTACGATTCCACACAGCCACAGGGCCTAAATGGTATGGTGAAGCCGCTCGCGATATATTAGTCCAATGTCGTTCAATATCTCCCAGAACACGGCTCTTTTCGCCGTTTTCTTTATTCTGACCAGCTCAACGTTGGGGAGAAACATCTGAACAAGTCAACCCTAACATTAGTGCACACTGTTCATGACTCCTTGCCTTATTTCTCGGTTTCCTGTTGGGGTAGTACTAGTAACATCAACTATGAGTAGAACCTTGCGTCTCTTCCTCGTCTCCACGCTCAACGTCTGGTACATCGTAGGTACGGGAGGAGCCTGGTCGTAAGTTTCGAGATTGCCAATGGGTCTTCCCAGACTTGTGTGTAAAACTAGCACAACTGCTTCGTTTCTTGAGGTAAGACAGCACCACAAGCTGTGGAAACTGAGCTCACCGTCGCTTGGTTGATTCCGATCCGAAGCGACGGGAGTCACTTGAGAAGGTCCAGCTAGGGTTGCTTGACCCCACCTCTTAGGCTTCATACCTACCAAGCTACTTCGTAGTTTACTCCGAACTGGGTTGAGTAGCTTCTGTTCAGTCACACCGCGCTCGTACGGTTTTGCGTCGTAGTCATGCCTTTTTGACTTTGCGCGCTGAAGTACAAGCAATATGTGGGAAGGGACGCTGGGCATTCATGCTTGTGTGCGTCCATTACAAGATAAGTCTTCTATTCCAAGTAAACTACTTCGTAGTTGGCACAAGCTTCCATTTCTTGCTGTCCTCTGCACCAATTGCCGTGCCATACCTCTCCTCCTTACACTCGTCGTTGACACCTTAAACTTGGATGGGCACGAGACAAAAAGAGCATCCTCCAACACGAGTTCCTAGCATACTGTTTCCTAATTTCTGCTCGAATGTGCGATTTACCCCTCCGAGTATTATTCATGGGCCTTTTTTAATGCAGTACAGGCAGACAGCATTTGAAAGATTGATTGTAATGCTTCATTACCGCCCACCGTCAAAGATACGTATAAGCTCGGCTGGGAAACGGAGCGACAGTGTAAGTGGAAAGAGCCCCTGTGACTGGTGCCTGCCAATGTGGGGGAGGTGCACTTTGCTGCACCAAGACCTTGGACACTGTCCATCGTAATTGTAAACTAAACTACGAAGTAGGCAATCGGCAAAAGTGGGAAATGGCCACAGGACGGGGTCTCTAGACCTGCATTGTAACTTGGGCAGGCTGGGCTCGAGGTCTCCACGAAGTACCACGGTCAGCCATGGTGTCTTCAACCGTGACTAAATCGTTGCAATACGTGGTACCGGACTCGAACCCGCGAGGAACCGGGTGACAGATGGATCCACCGAGACTTCGCCTTGCGCCGGCCACGAAAACCCTTCCGGGTACGCTGGGGGTACCCACCCGATGACACAAGCCCACGCCACACTTACGCGGTAAAACTACGAAGGAGGCTCTATCCCGAAGGGTCTACGATGTTCCTTTTCTTGGAAGTGAAGGGGGAGGGAGAAAGCCCACACATGGCCCAATGTCCCATTCAAATTGCTCCCCCATCCTGAGCTTGAGAGGCTCTCTGTTTGTCATTTGTATATATAAACCTAGTGGCTGTCTAGTTCCACAGCAGTTTGAACCCCCCTTCCCTCTCTTCCCGTTTCCATCTCACTCCTCCATCTCTCTTAAACCAGACTTAGTGCCCTTTTTCGCACCCCGGACCAGACCCTCGAACTGTCCAAAAGAGCTTTCATTAATCTCGAGCATTACAAATCTACACCATCACGTCAACCTGTGCCGACTTACACCATCCAGGTTCTCTCGCCCTCACCTCCCCCACGTCCACTTTACATCGGAACCCTCCGCGAGCCAGCAAGTAAACAAAGAACGACTTTGTCCTCGACCCGCAACCCTTAAAAAAAACCATCTTGGAAATAACCACGACGAATACTTCGAAACCACTTCTTCGATTATCGACGAGCATAGAGGGACCAAGCTGAACCAAACCTACCAGACAAACAAAAGAGAGCAACTTCGCTCAGCCACTCCAGCCACAATGTCTCCCACATACACAATGTCCGCACACTTGTGCAAGCAAATCTACTCCTCCTGGCGCCAAACCCGTCACCCTTCTCCCGAGCCACTGAGCCCCTCTCAACAGCGCCGCTCCTCGACTTCGTCTAATTCTTCCTCCACATCGAGCTCGCCGTCCTCTTACTTCACTTCGAGCAAGACCTCGATCGAGGCGGATCGCGACGCCGCGACGAGTCGGAGGATTGGAGGCAGTAATACGAGATAAAGCAACGTTGAACCGAAGCGCCGGGGAAATGACCACAACGTACAACGTCGAACATCATCGCAATGGGGAATTATTCGAAATTGTTCTTGTGTGAAAGCAGCGGGCGAGCTTTTTTTCTAATTCTTGTTTTTCTGGTTTTCCATTAAATCTCATTTGTCTTGACAACAACAATGGTCGCCCCGGATCGGAATGGCGGATATCAATGGCGTTCTGGATTTCATGGGTTGAGGGTTTTTCATTTATTTGTTTCCGCGGGAATTAGTTTATCGAGTATGAAATCCATCGCCTTGATTTTATTCTTCGATCCCTTTTGCTGGTCGTTTATGGTCCAACCCCTAAGAGATCTTGCTTCTTTTTATGTCCGATTCCTGGCTGTCTCCGGACTGGTTCGTGTAGGACCCGTACGATCGGACAACACTGTGCTTTACCCCGGCTAGCATCCGGCCTATATCGGCTCGGAACAGCAAGAATACATCAATTGGCTTCCGAAGCCACTTCCGACCCACGCAGCTTGACATTCTGGCCAGTATTCATTTCTACCCATCACAAGTTTCTACGGATAGCACTCATAATGAGAGATGCCCCTCGGGCCTTACTTTCCATGACATTGAAAAGATGGTGATGCCAATGATGATCTCTTGCGCCAATCGTGCATCGTCCCTCATGATTTGGATATTCGGGGCACTCCCAGATTGAGAATTTCGTTCTCAGCCTTGCGAGCCTTGCGTGGTAAATGGTGGTGGTGGTAAGTGCGCGGAGATGCCCATCCGGGTGTGTTTCATCTCGTTGGAAAGGATCTTTGGGTCCGTCAACTCCCGCATCATCACCAGCAAGAACGCAATCTAACATCCACGGCAAGCGTGTACCTTGAGGAGTAATCTTCGTCTGAAGGTGAATACTTCGTTCGCTCGACTCCAGAAATTAAAGTGATCTTCCTCTTCAGCATATTGGCATCGTATCCTCATTATCTTCGTAATATTCCACCTAAGAAACAAATGTATCGCCAATGGTAGAAACAGATTCTCTAAGAAGCAAAACGCGCATATCGAAAAGAACAACCGCATTACCATCTACCAAAATGCGTAAAAACAAGAAGGTGACCGCATGTCATCCAGAAAATCAACCCGTCTATGGTATTACGACAAGTTTCCCTTGCCATCACCTAGCTCGCCAACACCATCCTGCGGCGCGCCAAGCCGCGGAGCCTTATCGTCACCACTCGCCTCAGGGGTTTCTGGGGGAGAGGACGAACCCTGAATCCTCCTCTTGGCCTCAGCCTTCTCCGCTTCCGTTACGTCCTTCTCGTCCTTGCGCATATCCGGCTTCCACTGGGATTCATTGGGCGAGTGGCCAATGGACATTCCCGCTCGGACCTAGCACCAAGTTAGCAAAATAGAACAACTCACCATAATAAGAAACAGAAGCCTATTTATAGGTAGATAGATGAGTACTCACCAGCGTCTCCAAAGCAGTGTTCGAATTGTCCACCATGTCGTCATCAAACCTCATCTTGCCCTCTTCGAAGAGCAGCACGATGGTCGATCCGCCAAACTTAAAGTAGCCAAGCTCCTCCGCTCGCTTGACATTGTCTCCTTCGTTGCGCGTGATCACGGTGCTGCCGACCATCATGGCACCTACGCAAATGACCATGACACGGCCATGCTCAACGCTGTCGATGGGCACCAGCACACGGACGTTCTCGCCGTAGACGTCCAACGCGGATCGGATAGCCATCGGGTTGACGGTGTAGTACTCTCCTGCGATGAGCTCCGGCTTACCCATGACGCCATCGACAGGGATATGGAATCTGTGGTAATCCTGTGGGGCTAGCCTAAAGATACCTAGAGCACCATTCTCGTAGCGCTTAGCTTCGTGGCCGTACGCCTCGCCGAGGAGCCGCTTGACCGAGAACTCTCGTCCCTTGATCCAGACCTTCGTCGCCTGATCAACCCTGTTAAAGACTACGCTGCGACAATCGGCGGGCGATACGATGATGCGCGGGTTGTTGGGGGCGGAGCATGGGCGAGCACCGGGCTTCAGGGCGCGGTAGAAGAATTCATTGAAATTCTTAAACTCTTCGAGTGGCAAGAGCACCTCGGACAGGTCGAGGTTGTGGAACTCAACAAAGGGAATAATCTGGGATTTCGACGCGGGATCGTCGTATTTCTTCCCTTGCTTGATACTCATGCTCTTGAGGAGTTTACGAACTGTGGGGAACGGGATCATTAGTAACATTATACGCGGCGATGGGGAGGTGGGAGAAAGGCAGTGTGTCCCGGGTTTGGGAGAGAACTTACTCTGCTTCTTCTCCATGCTATTGGACTTCAGGCCCTTGTACAGCAACCGGATACCGAGCCTCACGTAAACGCTCATCTTCTCCTCATTGATCTGACCAGTAATTCGGTCCTGGACCAGGATGTTGGCCGAGTTGGCGCCAAGCTTGTAACCTCCATACGAGATCTTGGTAATAACTTTGGAGTACCACTTCCGCTGCGCTTGGCTAGCCGTGACGAATCCACCCATCATCAATTTGTTCACCTGTCTCCAGTCCTGACTGGCGCAAGTGGCAATGTGAGTGATGATGTCTGCATCCTTCCGCTTATTGAGACGCGGCTGGTGGCAGATGGGGCATTCTCGTATTTCAACGACGTGTTCCTCGCCACGGTCTTCGACCAGCTCGTCCTTGGAGGGGAAGTCGCCTTCTTCACCTGGGGCAATTAGCTCCGGTACTACAATAGTTGATGACGCGCTTGAATCCTGGTGAAGTATAGGTGGTCGTGCCGCCGGTTCTACCGGTCCTACGGTGCCGGGTGGTGTGGTGGCAGACGATTCGCTAGACGCCGTCGAACCGTCACTTTCGCCGCTCGGAGGGGCAACAATGCCCTTCACGCGGTCCTTCACGCGGTCACCCAGGGATGGTTGCTTGTTGCTCTTGGCCAACAACTGCTCCTCGAGACAGATGACGACCTCATCTACCGTCAGGTCCTGCTCCTCGCCTCCGTTGATCCGGTGAGGGAAGCGCTGGAAAAAGCTGTCGATGGTAGACTCGCGGAGGGTCGATCCGAGCGTATCAAGCATAGTAGTTAGCTCGACTTTGCTGATCTGGCCACTCTCATCTGCGTCATATTGCTTGATCATAGCTCTCCAGAATTGTTGTCGCAAGGCAGGGTAAGGCATGTATTTCGCACGCAGATTCAAAACTGGGCTGTGCTTGTCTTCCCACTTTTCAAGATTCTTCATCTTCAACGGCAAGGAGAACTCGTAGAAGTCTTGAGTCTCTGGTTCGGTGGGTGGCGATTCTGGGCCTTCGCCAGGCGGAGCTGGGACGGCAAGGGTATCACCCGACGCGACTACAACAGGTTGCGCCGACGGCGCTGCTGAGTTCGACGTAGCCGATGGCGCGACAGAGGCCGCAGGAGCGGTATCAGAGGGTATCTTAGATCCTGATTGTTTGATCAGCTTGCTTAGGCTCTGCGTCGATGAGGACCGTGACAAACCGAGCTTCCTGAATCGCTGGCGCTTAGGTTGCTCGTATTCCGGTGGATCTCGCAAGTCATAGAGGCCTGTCTCCGGATTGGCCTTGGGGGCCTTGTCGATCAGATCCTTGACTGGAAGGTTGCACGAGGCGATGAAATCGTTGCCGGAATACTTGTCGTGGTCGATGACGGTGAAAGCGAAGGAGTACTGCTGCTCGTGAGATACAACCTGGAAAAGCAACTTCTCGTTGAACACGGGGTTTAAGTTGTGGCGGACTCGTCGAGTTCGGTAGGTCTTCTTGCCTAGCGAGGCAACTACGAAAGGATCCATATCGAAGCTTGTCCGAGTGAGGTTGGATTCCGGCGGCAGGTCCGTAATACTGCAAATTTCTAGGAATATGATGCCCAATACATCGGAATCACCACTGAATTCGTAGGCGTTCTCCTTCCTCTTCCTCTTTAGTCTCTTGATGCGTAGGCGGCGCTTTCTCCGCTCGATAGCCTCAGGCTTTGTCGCATCCTCCTCGAGAATCTCATCGCTCACGTCAATGTCGTAGTCCTCGTCCTCGTCGTCCTCATCGTCGTCAAGATCTGACAGTGTAGTGTCAAGCCCCTCTCCTGGAACGGTGTTGGGAGTCGGTGCAAGTAGCGTAGAAGTCGGGCCCAGTTTCGGGCTTCTACTCTTCCCGTGGCTCGGAGTCATGGCCGGCGTGATATTCCGCGATGCGCTTTCGGGGACGGTCTTGACAAGAGCGTTGAACTTGTCGAAGATTTGCTGAGGGGTAGCGTTGGGGTTCGAGGTGTCGTGAAGAGTGAACTGGAGCTGTACCTCGCCGGAGACAATGCTAGTTTTCTTGCCAGGTTTCTTGCTTCGCAGCGGGTACCACTTTGGCTCTTGAACCGGCTCGCCATTGGCGAATATATCCTCGAGGGCGAGGTCGAATTCGCCCATATAGTCCTTTCCAAAGCGATCCTTATCCCAGCATATGACATCAAGGAGCAAGCTCTGAACCGAGTTGACGGGCAGGTCTTCGATCACGTTCCATTCTGGGTTCAAGGTCTTGGGAACTGAATGCGTAATTGCTTTGGCATCGCCAATGATCAAGACTAGATACTAGAATCATGAGGCAGTAAGTTAGCTAGGTATTCGACCAGTCGCGACTCAACCATCCTGGAGCATGCATCCGCGAAGGAAATGTGTAAATAGATTTTGCTATCAAGGGGATTCAGTGAACTCGGGCATCGAATGCATCGCTGCATTGGAATTGAATTGGAATCTCCCCCAGAAAGAACCAAAGCATCGACGTACCGGATCGGAAGTGCCAGATCGATCTTTGGCAGCGAGGTTGCGGCCCTAGACAATTTCAAAGCCCAGGTCAGTTTCAACGAATATGCGCAAACAACCACTGGAGGTTGCTGAACAGTGTCGCGATACGAGGTCGGAGATGGAGGGGTAGCATGTGGGTGGGTGTGGGCATGGTGGGTAGCTCCCCCCTCGGTGGCAATGGGGTTTGGGTTTGAGGAGGAAAGCTACGGCGTACCTTAAGGATGGAAACCCTGAGAGCCAAGCCATTATCGCGAGTCGAATTCATGGTGTCTTTGTCTCTATTCTTGGGCGGACTGTTGCTTCGGCCGTTGTTGGACGCAGAGCTGGTGATGGAGCTGGATGACTTCAAGCGAGATGGTATTATTCGTACCATGGCGAAGGAAAGGGGAGAGACGAGGGGGACAGGCCCAGTTTATCAACGTGACGCCCGACACGCAGGCGGAACGGAACCCCCTGAGCGGGGTGGATTGCGTACACTGTGGCCCTGTAGGAGGGCTGAGGCAAAGACGGATTGGGCGGATTGATGATGGAGGGCGCGTTGTAGTGTGCACCAAGGAATGGCATAAGAAAGTGGAAGGATTGAGGGCGCCCACAGCACTGCCAAGTCAGAGGGTGCCAGGTGCCCAGAGGAGGGGGTCAGTTGTGGTCTGGTCTTGGTACTTCGTATGTCGATAGGGCTGCACTTTGTATGTAGTGTGTCGATGACTTCGATCTGACTGGTGGTGACGTATTTGTGAACAAGGAAAAATGAGCGGCAGCAGCAGCCAAACCAATGCAAAATCAAGTGGTGTCCAGGGTCCAGCTGCAGATGCTACGCACACAGCCGCGCAAAATGAACGGGTTTTAAGAACCGCAGGGAAGAATCGATCGGAACTGGGAAAAAGCTGAGAATAAAGAATGAAAAATAAAAGAATCGGTCGTCGAAAAAGGAATGGGCCAGTCCTGACCAGCTCATACCACTGGCGTGTTACTATTGTCCCAACTCTAGACTTGGAAAGGGTTTTGATCTGCTCTGCGAAGGATCGACCCAAGTCTCGAGGTTTGATCACTCCTCAATAAAGTCCAAGTGTCACCTGCTCCGCGGGAACGCAGCAATCGAGTAGTGAAACGGAAAATCGGGCTGGCGGATCTCTCGATTCGGTGGAGTTGGATATGCAAGGATGCGGTTCTCCCTTGAAAAGTGGACGTGAATTGACGGCCCAATTTTCCCTAGAAATCAGCCTCGGGTCGTTCCCAATATCCTGCCTTTCTTTCCCATTAAGTAGCTGAAAGCAGTGATTCAGTTGCTCTCCTCGTCAATCGCTAGCCGCTCTCGTTGTCTCTCGTTCTCGCTCGCGCTGGTGACCCGTTGAGGGTTCGTCCCTTTATTTTAAAAGTATTTTGATCTCGAAGACTTCGTCTGTACTTGTCCGAGGTACAAGCACGGTGGTTTCGCTCTCTTTCCCCCCACAAACTACCCTTGAGAATTTTGGCCAAGGGGCCTTCGCTCGAGTGATAGTTGCTAGCAAATGCCGTTAGTGCCGTGAGCTATGCGCCAAGCCTACATAGCATGCTTGACGGACTTCGTGTGTGCAGGTATTATTTTAGGGCGGTACAACAGCTGAACGAAAAAAAAAAGGGGTGTGGTGCGACGTGAAGAATTGATGTCAACGTTCTTCCTGCAGGAAGAGTAAAATCCGGTGCTATGTCCGCGGAGGGCGGCGCTCGTCTGTCGAACTCGGTCGGGGTTTGCAAGAATGTCCCCGTCTTGTCGTGTGTGCCGTGTTTCGAGCTTCGGAGTGGTCTCTCTAGGAGCTAATAATACCTGGGAGAGATTGCAATGCCAAGAGAGTAATAGCTGAAGGCAGCCCTCAGTTGAGACTGAACGTTCAAAAAATCCCAAGAAATAATAAGCTTGGACTATCTGTCTTGGCCAGGCACCGAATTTCCGCTTTCAGATAGTTTCAATCATGACAAGCCTTTCACATGCACTTGGAATCGAGAGTACGAAGTGTATCCCCCGGTCGCCAAAGAGACAACATTGAAGAGAAGAAAAGACTTGGGAAGGGAGGTCAGCAACCTCGCCGGGTTGGGTCCAAGGGCAGTAATAAATCCGATGGGAAGAAGCCCGCCGGTCAGGTTAAGTTGAAACCAGGATGGTCTAGGCTCCCTACCACCCTGGATCCATGCTCTAATTATAATTCAATGTTGGGGGATTGGGAAAAAAAAAAAAAAAAAAAAAAAAAAAAAAAAGGCAGAACCCAAAGAGAGAAACTCCTCGTCCAAGCAAGTAATCTTACAGCTTCGTTGCGACATTACATCAAGATTGAAGAGGCCGCCTTCCTTTCGCGTGCTTATCCCTTACCTCTCGGGGTACCGGCGCCAACAAAACCATGGACAACACGGGAAGGACGGAAATACGGGAAGAGCGAGGCTACCCTGCTTCTTTTCCCCATCCTCCTCTCTTGCTTGATTATGCCGAGAAGGAGCCCTCCTCCATCAACTACGTTGGGATCCTGTCAGTCTGACAGGATGCGAAGGCAATCCAACAATTTGATGGGTAGATCCGTTGGCGCAGCCAGCCGCAGCCAGTCCCCCATCTGTTTGCCTATTCTCTCTGTTCTCTGTCGTCCCTATTTCAGAGATCATCATCCATGAACTCTATCATTGGTTCTGGGCCTGTCTTAACCTACTCATAGACGTAGAGCAGAGCAGGTGTTGCTTCTTTCAAAACACACTAGTACATTCTCTGGGAAGAAAAATGAAGTAGTGTTTGAGGTTGAGCTGCCTTTCAGGGCTGGGCCAAGGTGGCAGCAATGCAAGACATCGTTCGGTGGGATATTGAGACCTCCGGATGATCCTTTGCTGAATTGGACTCAATTTCCCGTTCTAGATAGCCCCAACGGTGTCAACTCTCGAACGATCATCAAGAGGAGATGTTGATTATTCCCCGCCAAATGCAAGTCGGAAATGGACCGAACTGAGTCCAGGCGTTCGGCATTCACATCCCGTCTCCGTGCTGCGAATGTACTCGTAATGCTCTGTCAAGTTGAGCGTTGATCGTGGCCTGGCGGGGGCTTCTTCTCTGAGCCACATGCGCTAGCGAACAGATAATCATATGTTGATATATTAATAGGATGAACCTGTCGGTGTTTATTAAAACCAAGGCCCAAATTGTCGGCAGGGTCTAGACCAGGCTGAGCGACGCTAAAACGTTGCAGCGCTCATCAAGGCTTGGCACGGAGATAGCTCGAGAAGGATGGCGTCGAGGACATGTCGGGAAGGCAAAAGGCCCGATGCACCTTCCACATCAACATCTGGTGCAACATCACCAACTCTCAGTCTGGAGACCGCGGAAATCTTAAAGCTACGTAGTTTACTTCTGTCTTCCCCTTACGGAATAATTGAGCACTCGGTGCCCCTTAATACAACCCAAGATCGTCAGGGCAGACCGAGGCCATTCTGTTTTCCCTCGCACTCGCACTAGCTCACCAACCGTTGGAAGCTCTAATAAAATAAACACGTCACTTACACCCCACATTCAGCTTTCCCGAACTACGCGTCCCTCCTAGTTTTAGTTCATCCGATCCTTGCCCAATGGTAGCCTACATTTATTGAACCCGTCCTTTCGTATGATCAAGCATTCAGGGGAGGGGATGAGCCACGGGAGTTCGGAATAGCTGGCCAAAGGCTAATTCGCAGGATTGTCGAGGCGGCACTCCCACCTGTCATCAATTCATCGTGCTAGTATCACACTCATCTGCACTACACTAAGTCGTCTGCTCCCAACATCCTTCCCATCATTGGTGGGTATTCAGTTACACTGAACCTGGAATAGCCCAAGGGTATTCCTTCGGATCAGCCCCCGGTTCCTTTGACATGAGCCCCTTGCTCTCATCGGCTCCTGTTGAATTGTCGTTTTGTACTTCGTACGCGCAGCATTGCTCCACGATGGATCGGGTTTAAACCACAGCTTCCCACTTCTATTACTTCACTGTCAAGAGGGATCGATTCATCAATTGAAGGCGCCCAAACAGGAGAGTCCAGATCCCACCAGTTTCAAATAACCAGGCTTCCCCTCTCTTCCACAGATGTCGTAGGCACTATTGTCTCTCAGTATCCGTCTGTCTGACCCCCCGCGCCGTTTTCCCCCCGGCTGATTCTTCCCATATCGCCGATCACCGCAGATCCTCCGCAGGCTCCAACACCGTTCCGTCCTTCCCAAACTCAACGACCAGCCATGAGGTGCAGTATTAGCCTCTTAAAACCGCACCTGCCAGCGAGCCCGCCATCAAACGAAGCATCTTGTTTCCGGAATGGTTACGATGCAATACATGAGACGCTGGACTCTTTCCGTCCCTTCCTGTCCTGCGTCTAGTCTTTACTGTAGTCACGGTCCCCTTTCGCTTCTCCTTGCACTTGGAGGAGGGGCCACATTGGAAACCCGGGTTTAGCGTTCTCTTGGCCTGCCCAGCCCACTTCTTGGCCTAGAAGGAGGAGGGGACAATGGGAAGATGTGACTGGAAGCCCCAATCAAATTGAGATGTCTAGCACTCCATCTGCCCACTGAACTAAAAATCCTCCTAAACTTGAGACTGCGGTCAGCTCCTGGACCTCGTGTTGGACGCGATAGCCGTAATTGGAAGCTGCTTGGCATGCAGCGAGGCTTCTATCGTGCATAAAGGCTTCTGCCACCCCCAAAATGAACTACGTCACCACACAACACAACCGAAGAAAGATTGCTAATTCCAGTGTCTGCAGCATTACCACAAGAACGAAAGGACGAAAAATTCTCAAAGACGGAACATGAGAATAAGCAGGAAACATCCCAAAACACTCACTCAACCTCCCCTAAAAGGAACAAGACAAGCTGCAGTGCAGAAACACGACACAAAGAGGGGGTTACTAGGAAGGGGCAAAAAAGAAGTCGATGGTCAGTATGAGGGTCGAACTCATGACCTTGGCATTTACTATGATAAGCCGGATAGCTTATTAGTACCACGCTCTAACCAACTGAGCTAACCGACCGTGTTGCTTGTGTTGGAAAACGTTTGCCACAATTTCGTCCATTAAGGTACAGCTCCGTCTTTGGGCTGGCGAACCGGTTTTTCCGCTGCTGTCGAGTCGGATTTGATCTCAAGATGGGATCCTGATAGGCGCATTTGAGAGTTTTCCATTGTCCTTGCGAAGTCAAATTCTACCATCGCATTCATTATCTATTCCGCTCGCAAACTCTACTTGCGTTACGCTCGCTAAGATCGTATCCTTCCTCTTCTTCTCGCCCAATCCCCCTCTCAGCCCTCCCCGCCTCCAGGCCTACCTGCCTCTCTCGACTTGGGGTTTCACCCCGCCATGTTGACCTTGTTACACTCTCCCCAGTCCCTAGACTAGTGT